GGAAGCCGGTTATTTTTATATAGCCAGATTTGAGTCCTGGAAATGGGAAGTACAATGCCTGCACTCTTAAGGAGGGGTTCGGAATATTGGCAGTTTGGAGGGTATGATGCGTATCTTTATACTTATATGCTTCTAAGCTGTTGTGTTTCTGAGCACCTCTGTAAAAACAGTGATTATGTGTAAGTGAGGTGAAAGAGTTGAATGATGATGAAAGTATTTTCTTTTTTGGGATTTTCTTTCTTTTTGGGTCACCCTACCTCGGTGGGCGACGGCCGACTTGTTAACCCTTTGACTGTCGCGGCCGTATATATACGTCTTACGCGGTACCGTGTTTGACGTATATTTTTTTTTTTTTATTATCACACTGGCCGATTCCCACCAAGGCAGGGTGGCCCGAAAAAGAAAAACTTTCACCATCATTCACTCCATCACTGTCTTGCCAGAAGGGTGCTTTACACTACAGTTTTTAAACTGCAACATTAACACCCCTCCTTCAGAGTGCAGGCACTGTACTTCCCATCTCCAGGACTCAAGTCCGGCCTGCCGGTTTCCCTGAATCCCTTCATAAATGTTACTTTGCTCACACTCCAACAGCACGTCAAGTATTAAAAACCATTTGTCTCCATTCACTCCTATCAAACACGCTCACGCATGCCTGCTGGAAGTCCAAGCCCCTCGCACACAAAACCTCCTTTACCCCCTCCCTCCAACCCTTCCTAGGCCGACCCCTACCCCGCCTTCCTTCCACTACAGACTGATACACTCTTGAAGTCATTCTGTTTCGCTCCATTCTCTCTACATGTCCGAACCACCTCAACAACCCTTCCTCAGCCCTCTGGACAACAGTTTTGGTAATCCCGCACCTCCTCCTAACTTCCAAACTACGAATTCTCTGCATTATATTCACACCACACATTGCCCTCAGACATGACATCTCCACTGCCTCCAGCCTTCTCCTCGCTGCAACATTCATGACCCACGCTTCACACCCATATAAGAGCGTTGGTAAAACTATACTCTCATACATTCCCCTCTTTGCCTCCAAGGACAAAGTTCTTTGTCTCCACAGACTCCTAAGTGCACCACTCACTCTTTTTCCCTCATCAATTCTATGATTCACCTCATCTTTCATAGACCCATCCGCTGACACGTCCACTCCCAAATATCTGAATACGTTCACCTCCTCCATACTCTCTCCCTCCAATCTGATATTCAATCTTGACGTATATATACTCATAAATTCTAGCAGCTTCAAATCAAGCAGGAGAAAGCTGGTAGGCCCACATGTGAGAGAATGGGTCTGTGTGGTCAGTGTGCACCATATAAAAAAAATCCTGGAGCACGCAGTGCATAATGAGAAAAAAAAACTCTGACCGTTTTTTTAATTAAAATGCCGACTTTGTGGTCTATTTTCGTATAGTATTTATGGTTGTATTCTCGTTTTCTTGGTCTCATTTGATAGAATGGAAAACATATTATAGAAATAGAGGTGATTTTGATTGATTTTACTATAAAAAGAACCTGGAAATGGACCTCAAAATAGGGGAAATGTTTGATTTTTGCTAATGTTCAAAAGTAAACAAATGATGCCATTGTCCAATAAGTGTTCAACTAGCCATTCTAATATGCAGTCATAAATGGGTTGATGTTATTTATACAATTATTACAGTATTGCAGTAGTCTGCATAATAGTAAGTCTTCTATTTTTTGTTTGAATGAAAATTCAAAATAGAAAGCAAGAGTAATATCAGAGGGGCTTGGAGACATGACTGATGAGCAAAGAAAATGTTATTTTAGAGCCAGGAATGTCTGCATTGTTCATTCTGGACCTTATTTTGAAATTGTCATATTTTTTAGTTTTCGTGGAATTGGCCAAATTGCAAATTTCTGACCACATTACAGTGTATTAGGTAGTTGAAATCGGTAAATTGGCAGTTTCTTGTACTCAATCGATAGAAAAAATGGAGTTCTAAAGAAATAGCTATGAGTTTGGGCAACTGGAACAATGGAATTAGCTGAAAATAGGGCTCAAAGTGGGCGAAATCGCCGATTTGTAAACAGTGCCGAGGTCGCTAACTTCGCGAAAGCATAATTCCATCAGTTTTCCACCAAATTTCGTTTTTTTTGGTGTCATTACAATCGGGAAAAGATTCTCTATCATTTCATAAGAAATTTTTTTTTTTTTTTTTAAATTTTGCGACACCAGGAGACACCTCAGGATTGGGGGTTGCGACAGTCAAAAGGTTAAAAAAAAAAAAAAAGAAAATCAACAAACATGATGTTACTGAGTGTTATTGCCATATTCACTAGTCATACCTCTATATATGTATCAAATTTATATGAAAATAATGACAAGCAGCAATAATTCTGTCCATGAATGATACACAGTATCTATATCCCAAGTTATGTAAAACTTTGTCACACAATATGTTTTCTTCTCTTGATTCATATGTAAACTTTGGTCTAGTTTCTTTAACAAAATTCTACATCTTATTTTATTTGATTCTGCTGTAAATTATTTATGACCACTATAACTCCAATATCAATTATCATTTAAGTTCTGCTTCACAAACTAATTCATTCCCTTTCCCTTCCTTCCTTAAAAAACAAGGTCACTTTTGTGGATTGTGTTTTGCTCTGTAAAACACAGTTCATGAAAAAAAGCATAGCATTCTCATTGATTTAATTATCAAGAATATTTCTTCATTAATGAAAATTTCATTGCTGTATAACAATAACAGGTTTCCAACTCTCTCAATAATAAAATAACTAAAAATATATAATTAAGACAATTTTTTTCTTTAACTCAACAGCCACCTCCTGCCTAAACAGGGTGATCCCCACAGAGAAAACACATTCATCATCATTCATTCAATCATTATCTTTATAGTGTGCTGACATTACAATTTGGCTGCTTTTTAACCGCACATCTCCACCCCTCCTTCAAAGTGCAGTCAAAACTAAAGACTTGTCCATTCTCTCACTGGCTCTCCTGTTACACTTCCTCACCATTCCTTTAACCTCTCTCTTCTTTTTCATATACTCTGTTTTCTATCATATTTACAACATAAAAGCCTCTCATATGCTAACTTATTCTCCCTTACCACCCTCTTTACCTCTTCATTTCACCAATCGCTCTTTTTCCCACCTGAACTTGCCTTGCTATACCACAAACCTCTGCTGTACACTCTAGCAATGCATTTTTTAAATTTATCCCATACCTCGCCAACCTCCTCATTCCCTACACTTTCCAAAGCCCATCTTTGCCTCAATAGTTGCTTAAATCTTTCCAAAATGTTTCCTTCATTAATTTATTTATTTTCACTTCCTCTCTTAACTACTACTGCCAGTCTCTTCATACAATGTCTACCCAATCAGTCAAATGGTACCCAGGCTGACTGCAATATGGAAATAAACTAAGTATGTCAACTATCAACAATTAACCCCCTTAAACTGTCTCAAATGTTGATCTACGTTCTTACTAAGATGTCTAGTCAGTATAAAAAGAGGCCTAACACTCAGTGTGCACAGTATTAAAAAAATCTGGGACCACTTAGTACCTTGTGGGAGCAACAGTTCAATTGAGCACCAGCTAGAGCAAACAGCATGGCAAACACCAGAGATTTACTAATGTCATGTCATATTAACACTCCCCTTTTAGGGGATAAGTGATGTTGACCCAAAGTTTAGTAGCTTTGAGATGGATGTGGCCACAAGTGGTAGAGGATATATAATAAACTTCGATAATAGCTCATGTGCAACATTTGTCTCACGTCCTTTCAATTTTGATACTACTGGTAGTCTCATCCTGCCAGAATGTTCTATAACCTATGCCCTAAGTAAAGAGAAACGATTCTGGAACATATGTAATATGTGTTCGGCTGGCCGGCTGACTGGTTTGCTGGCTTGCTGACTGACTGACTGACTTGGCTGACTCTGTCACTGTCTTTATCTCTGTCTACCTGCCTTTGTCCCAGAGCCACTCATAAACCAGAATCAAGGACTAAGTAAGTTTATTGAGGCACAGGTGCACAGAAGTACAGATATCATAAATAGTGTAAATTACCTAGGATTACCCAAAAAAAAGCTAGACAAAGTGCTATATTGTGCTTGTTGATATGAGGCATAAGCATGGCTGGCAAGAAATACACATTTCCACCTGTTCAGGAATCAGATGTGATGATTCTGCAATGTGTAATACCTGGTGGTTCATGAGCAGCTCTCTCTGAGACAGAGAGAGAGACAAACAGACAGAGACAGGCACACAGACTGGCAGACAGAGGCAGACAAGAAGACAGAGGCAGACAAGAAGACAGAGACACACACAGTCAGTGAGACAGGTAGAGACACACACACAGGCAGACAGAGACAGGCATAGAGACACACAGGTAGACAAGAGTGATACAGGCAGACAGATACACATACATGGGCAGACAGGTAAACAGAGACAGGCAGACAGAAAGACACACAGGCAGAGACAAGCAGAGAGAAAGACAGAGACAGATAACTAGACAAAGATAAACAGAGACAGAGCTAGATAGACAGACAGACATGTTTATGTGTAGCAGTCAGTGTGTTCGTGATTATTTGATGTACTATTTCAGTACCTAAATATTAGTGTCAGAACAAAGACTGGCTATAAAAATCACAAGAACTACTATAAATTGTAATTATCAGATCATAATTTTTTTGTTAAGGTATATTGCAGCATTTCTGCAAGCAGCAGAACTCCATGTTGCCGTCAGGTAAGCATCCAGTGAAACTTTGCTGCCTTATATCTCAGTAATTACTGACAGTAGAATTTTTGTTTTTTTCAAAATATTCAGTGTTAGCAATGGAAACATAGATCAATGTTTGAGCAGTTAATGGGTTAATGATTATAACCAGTTATTAAGTACCAAATTTTAAAGTTTCAACTAAAATTTTCCTGCTTAATTTCTAATCATTAATATTTTTTTCTAAAGTGGGAATACAATATAGAACAAATTTATATTACCAACCTTGTCATTTCACATTTGTTTGGAACATGTCCCCAGTTAAGGCGCCAAATTACAGTTGGCATTGGAACGCCAATTGCCAGACAAGTTAATGTGAAAGTCTCAGAAACTTGTACCAGCTTGTTGCGAGGAGGTGGCTCAATAATTATGGGTCTGCTGCATCCCAGTTCATCAGTCCCATCTTGACAATCCACATCTCCATCACAATGGAAAGATTTAGGGATGCACTGATTGCCATGATGACATGTAAATTCATTGTATCTACAAAATGATCCTGAAATAATAAAAACAATTACAGTATTAAGAATTTTTGTTGCAGAACAATAAGTCACTAAACTGCTGGAACTAAGATTAGTCCCAGTTTTTGTTTTCATTAATGTTTACTTTCACACCACACAACTCTGAATCACTTACCAGGTGGATTTGTAACACAGTCTCTTTCATCAGAGCCATCCCCACAGTCATCATCAGAATCACAGAGCCAGGTTTTGAGCACACAACGTTTGTTGTCGCACTGGAATTCATTTGGTTCGCAACCCAAAGGATCTGAAAAATTTGAAAATCATCAACATATCTTGACAGAGTACATAATTTCAAAGCTAAAGATGTCACTGAACACTTTCATGTTAATCACTAAGAGAATGTGAAACTCAAAATGAAGAAGAGAATGCAAGTTATTTATAGATACTAGGAGCAGATCCAGGAATTTATGCTAGGAGTACATAACTGAAGCCTGATAAAAGATGAATGTCATTTATTGTTTGCATTTTACTGAAATGTATTTGAGTAATTTATCAGGTGCATTAAAGCCTGAGTAATCATAAATTAGAAAATCTGTTAAAAATTAGTATGATCAGTTGTTGAGATTTGTTGCCACACTTTCAAACAAGTGGACCTTATGTTTACTTTAGTACAGTACAGTCTCTCCTCATTTAATGACAGAGTTCTGTTCCTATGATTATGTTGGTAAACGAATTCGTCACTAATTGAGGAGAATACTGTAATGGTAGTGGGTTTGTGTCAACCATCTTTGATATTGTTTTATTGCCACCTTTGCACCATTTATAACATTTCTGGTATATTTTTAAATGTTTATACAGTAGTGTACTGTATAATGTAATAAACAGAATAAAGGAAATCAGTTCTAATATACATTATTAAGATATGCACACTGGTCAGAGAGCCTGTCGTAAGTCCGAGTCATTGGTAAATGAGTACTTCGCTAAGCGAGAAAAGGATATACATGTACTCTAACTTAGAAAGCTCAAATACTGTGCTTTCTCATTCTCTTGTATTATCTGAAGTGACCAAGAACCAGGCCTGAAATGTATACGGTATGGAGTTTTGAGACACTCTGATCGCGGGTTCTATCCCCGCCTGTTGTATGGTTTGTATACATTAAGTGATGTTCTAAAGTATATGTCATTAACCAATATATCAATCAAATATACACTGAACCCTTTTTATTAGATTGCCAGGTTAATTTTCAATTAATTTAATTTGCAATGAAAAAATGAAACTGCACATACTAGTTTTTGCAAATTTGTTTAATAAAAAGCCATAGAGTTTTTATATATATTTTTTCTCCCACTGATGCAGGGTGACCCAAAAAGGAACTTAACACTTTCTCCATCATTCACACATAATCACTGTCTTTCCAGAGGAGCACAGATATGACAGTCCAGATGTCACTCCAAGCAGTAAATATCCCAAACCCCTCCTTTAAAGTAAAAGCACTGTACTTCCAACCTCCAGGACTCAAGTCCGGCTAACTGGCATCCCTGAATCCCTTCACAAAATATTATCGTACTCACTCTCCAACAGCTGAAATCCCAAAAACCATTCATCTCTATTTACTCCTATCTAACACACTCACACATGCCTGCTGTATGTTCAAGCCCCTTGCACACAAAACCTCTTTTACCCCCGCCTTCCATCCTTTCCTAGGATGACCCCTACCCCTTCACTACAGATTTATACACCCTCTAAGTCATCCTATTTTGCTCCTCCTCTCTAAATGACAAAGCACCTCAACAACCCCTTCTGAGCCTTCTGAATAATACTTTTAATAACTCCACATCTCCTACTAATTTCTACACTACAAATTCTCTGAATAATATTTACACCACACACTGTCCTTAGACACAATATCTCCACTGCCTCCAGCCTCCTTCTCAATGCAGCATTTACAACTCAAGCTTCACATCTATATAAGAGTCTTGGTACCACTAACTTTCATACATTCACTTCTTTGCCTCCATGTATAACACTTTTTGTCTCTGCAGATATCTCAATGCACCACCCACCTAATTTCCTTCATCAATTTAATGGTTAACCTTTTTTTTTTCTTTTTTACAAGTCCGCCATCTCCCACCAAGGCAGGGTGATCCAAAAAGAAAGAAAATCCCCAAAGAATATACTCTTATCATCATTCAACACTTTCACCTCACTCACACATAATCACTGTTTTTGCAGAGGTGCTCAGAATACTACAGTTTAGAAGCATATATGTATAAAGATACACAACATATCCCTCCAAATTGCCAATATCCCAAACCCCTCCTTTAAAGTGCAGGCATTGCACTTCTCATCTCCACGGCACAAGTCCGGCTATATAAAAATAACCATGTCCCTGAATCCCTTCACTTAATATTACCCTGCTCACACTCCAACAGCTCATCAGGTCCCAAATACCATTTGTCTCCATTCACTCCTATCTAACACGCTCACGCATGAACGCTGGAAGTCCAAGCTCCTTGCCCACAAAACCTCCTTTACCCCCTCCCTCCAACCTTTTCAAGGACAACCCCTACCCTGCCTTCCTTTCCTTACAGATTTATACGCTCTCCATTCTACTTTGATCCATTCTCTCTAAATGACCAAACCACCTCAACAACCCCTCTTCAGCCCTCTGACTAATACTTTTATTAACTCCACACCTTCTCCCAATTTCCACACTCCGAATTTTCTGTATAATATTTACATCACACATTGCCCTTAGACAGGACATTTCCACTGCCTCCAATAGCCTCCTCGCTGCAGCATTTACAACCCAAGTTTCACACCCATATAAGTGTTGGTACTACTATATTTTCATACATTTCCTTCTTTGCCTCCATAGATAACGTTTTTTGTCTCCACATATACCTCAATGCACCATTCACCTTTTTTCCCTCATCAATTCTATGATTAATCTCATCCTTCATAAATCCATCTGCTGACATGTCAACTCCCAAATATCTGAAAACATTCACTTCTTCCATACTCCTCCTCCCCAATTTGATATCCAATTTTTCTTTATCTAAATCACTTGATACCCTCATCACCTTACTCTTTTCTATGTTCACTTTCAACTTTCTACCTTTACACACACCCCCAAACTCATCCACTAACCTTTGCCATTTTTCTTTAGAATCTCCCATAAGCACAGTATCATCAGCAAAAAGTAACTGTTTCAATTCCCATTTTGTATTTGATTCCCCATAATTTAATCGCACCCCTCTCTCCAAAACCCTAGCATTTACTTCTTTTACAACCCCATCTATAAATATATTAAACAACCATGGTGACATTACACATCCCAGTCTAAGACCTACTTTTACCGGAAATAGTCTCCTTCTCTTTTACACACCCTAACCTGAGCCTCACTATCTTCATAAAAACTCTTTACAGCATTTAATAACTTACCACCTATTCCATATACTTGCAACATCTGCCACACTGCTTCCCTATCCAGTCTATCATATGCCTTTTCTAAATCCATAAATGCAATAAAAACTCTTCTACATTTATCTAAATACTGTTTCTCAAAATATTCTCACCATCTACCCAATACCTTCATCTCCCCATCTACTAACTCCCCTACTCTGTTTTTAACTGACAAATTCATTCGTTCCCTAGGCTTTCTTAACTTGTTTAACTCACTCCAAAAATTTTTCTTATATTCATTAAAATTTCTTGACAGTGCCTCTCCCACTCTATCATCTGCTCTCTTTTTGCACTCTCTCACCACTCTCTTCACCTTTCTTTTACTCTCCATAAACTCTACTCTTCTTATACCACTTCTGCTTTGTAAATACCTCTCATAAGCTAACTTTTTCTATTTTATCACAACCTTTACTTCATCATTCCACCAATCACTCCTCTTCCCTCCTGCACCCACCCTCCTATAACCAGAAACTTTTGTCCCACATCCTAATACTGCATTTTTAAAACTATTTCCAACCCTCTTCAACCTCCCCACTACTCATACTTGCACCAGCCCACCTTTCTGCCAATAGTTGCTTATATCTCACCTGAACTTCCTCCTCCCTTAGTTTATACACTTTCACCTCCCTCTACTTGTTGTTGCCATTTCCTCTTGTCCCATCTACCTCTTACTCTAACTGTAGCTACAACTAAATAATGATCCGATATATCAGTTGCCCCTCTATAAACATGTACATCCTGGAGCCTACCCATCAACCTTTTATCCACCAATACATAATCTAACACACTACTTTCATTATGTGCTATATCATACCTTGTATATTTATTTATCCTCTTTTTCATAAAATATGTATTACTTATTACCAAACCTCTTTCTACACATTGCTCATTTAAAGGCTCCCTATTTTCATTTACCCCTGGCACCCCAAATTTACCTACTACTCCCTCCACAACATTTTTACCCACTTTAGCATTGAAATCCCAAACCACAAGTACTCTCACACTTGGTTCAAAGCTCCCCATGCATTCACTCAACATTTCCCAAAATCTCTCTCTCTCTCCTCTACACTTCTTTCTTCTCCAGGTGCATATACACTTACCATAACCCACTTTTCACATCCAACCTTTGTTTTACTCACATAATCCTTGAATTAATACATTTATAGTCCATCTTTTCCTGCTATAGCTTATCCTTCAACATTATTGCTACTCCTTCTTTAGCTCTAACTCTATTTGAAAACCCTGACCTAATCCCATTTATTCCTCTCCACTGAAACTCCAACCCCCTTCAGCTTTGTTTCACTTAAAGCCAGGACATCCAGCTTCTTCTCATTCATAACATCCATAATCATCTCTTTCTTGTCATTCACACAACATCCACACACATTCAGACATCCCACTTCGACAATTTTCTTATTCTTATTCTTTTTAGTAATTATTATAGAAAATGGGGTTACTAGTCCATTGTTCCTGGCATTTTAGTTGACTTTTACAATACGCATGGCTTACGGAGGAAAGATTCTTATTCCACTTCTCCATGGATATAAAAGGAAAAATAATAAGAACAAGAACTATTAAGATAAAATCAAAGAAAACTCAGATGAGTGTGTATAAATAAACGTGTATATGAATGTGTAGTGTGATCTAAGTGCAAGTAGAAGTAGCAAGACATTCCTGTAATCTTGCATATTTATGAGACAGACAAAAGACACCAGCAATCCTACCATCACGTAAAACAATTACAGGCTTTCGTTTTACACTCACTTGGCAGGATGGTAGTACCTCCCTGGGTGGTTGCTGTCTACCAACCTACTACCTCAATATTATAAAATCAAAACAATTTTAATAAAATATATACAGTACTTAAAGCACAAGTCAGAAAATTCTACACTATATATATTTATACTCTATGGTAAAACTAGCAACTAATATCTCCTGAAGCACAGTTTAGTTGTATGAAATGGAATGATTCACATATTTATAACAATGTGCATGTCCTACTGTACACCAAGAAAGAGAAATCATTCCAGCCATTATTTCTTCCCCTCTACCTGTATAAATGCATTTATTTTCCTGTGTCTCATTCACTATCACACACTAACTCATTTTCCCTTTTTCTTCTTTTACATACACCACTGCACTTTCCATAGTACATTACTAATCTCTCTCTTTCTCATGCATGCATGTATACATATATGTATGTATGTATATCTACATGAATACATGTATATATATCCATATGTATATATGCATGTATACCCACATGTATATATATGCATGTAAATATGTAAGCACCCGCTAATGAGTCGATTTCCAAATATCTGAGCACATTCACTTCTTCCGTACTCCCTCCCTCCTATGTGATATCCAATTATTTCTCATCTAACTCGTTTGATACCCTCATCACCTTACTCTTATCTATGTTCACTTTCAACTTTCTTCCTTTACACACTCTCCCAAACTCGTCTTCCAACCTTTGCAACTTCTCTTCGGAATTTCCCAAAAGCACAGTATCATCATAAAATTTTATATCTGACTCCCCATAATTAATCCTACTCCTCTCCCAAACACTCTAGCATTTACTTCTTTAACAACCCCATCTATAAATATGTTAAACAACTTTGGTGACATTCCACATCCCTGTCTAAAACTTACTTTTACTAGAAAGTAATCTTCTTTCCTGCACACCCTAATCTGAGCCTCACTATCCCCATAGAAGCTCTTTATAGCATTTAGTAACTTACTACCTATTCCATACACTTGCAACATCTGCCATATTGCTCCACTATCCACCCTTTTCTAAATCCTTAAGTGCAATGAAAACTTCCCTACCTTTATCTAAATATTGTTCACTTGTATGCTTCGATGTAAACACTTGGTCTACACATCCCCTACCCATTCTAAAGCCTCCCTGTTCATTATTTCCCATAAAAATGTTAAATAATGGCATTTTAATTTGTTATATAAATGTATATTACTCTAGCCATGTCAAATGGGGCCAAATATATTTAAAGACATAATACTTGCATTCCAACATAATTAGATCAATAATTTTTTAATTTTATATACATAAAGTAACCTAGAGGTTAGGAATTTTTTACTGATTCAGTCTTATAAAATACACTTATTCTGAGTAAAAAACTCAAACCAATTTACTTATATTGCTCTTATAGTGCATCAAGTTTAGCTCTCTCTTCATTATCTATAAACAACAGACAAAACAAAAGTAACCTGGTCATTTGTGCAGTGGAACATCATTATTTTTCTATCAAAAGAACAAATTATCTTTATAAGGAATCAAACAGCCAATCCAATTTCCAAAAACAAAAATTCACCATTGCTTAAATATACATATACTGGTATTGCTCTACTAAAATTCAACAATACTGATACAAATAAAACTTACTGCATCGCATTTCATCTGAAGCATCACTACAATCGAAGTTTCCATCACACACTTTATCTTTATCAATGCACTGACCATTCATGCATGTTGCCTTGCTGAAGCCGCAGGCTGGTGGTTGTGGTATCGGGGTTGGCACAACATCTGTTAGGAATATATGAAGTGTAGTGAATATACTATTTTACTGTGAAATACACACACATATAATATATATATATATATATATGTCTGTACATTCTTTTTACCTCAACAGGCATTTCCCACCAAGGCGGGTGACCCAGAAAGATAAACACATTCTCCAACATTCACTCAATCACTGTCTAGCCAGCAATATGATGATATCACAGTTCAGATTACCTTCTGAATGCAATATCCTTATCCCCCCCTCCTTCAGCACACAGGCACTATTCTTTCTACCTCCAGGACTCACGTCTGATTAACTGGTTTCCCTGAATCCCTTCGTAAGAGTTACCTTACTCACAATCAACAGAATGTCCATTTAAAACCAGTCTCCATTCATTTCTAACACCCCTCATGTAGGCCTGCTGAATTCTCGAGCACCTAAACCTCAAAGTCTTAAACCTACACTGTTCTTGAAATGACCCTTACCTCTCCTACATTCCAGCCAAGATTTATAAACCCTCTTTGTGATCCTATCCTTCTCCATTTTGTCCAAATGCCCGGACTACCTCAGCAACTCCTCCTCAGCCCTTTGAATTATACCCTTGATGACCCTACACCATCTTTTAATTTCTACACTTCAAACTATGACATTTGCATTGCCTCTAGCTTCTCTCTTGCTACAACACTCAAAGCCCATGCTTCACACCCATACAAAAGTATTGGTACCACTATACTCTGGTGCATACATTTATTATCACCATAGATAAACCTCTTTCTTTCCATGGATGCCCTCATCTAGTTTATGGTTCACCTTATCTTTTATGACCTATCTGCTGACATGCCTACTCCCAATTATATCTGAATATACTCACATCTTCCATACGCCCTCCTCCAATTTGATATCTAATCTTTCACTGCCTAGAACTTTTGTTTTCCTCGTCTCCTAACTTTTGACTGTTTATTTTTAACTTCTTTCTTTTACATACCTTTGCAAATTCATCCACCAACCTTTGTAACTTATCTTCAGGATCTGCCAAAAGAACTGTGTCATTGGCAAAGAGCAACTGTGACAACTCTGACTAGACCTCTAATTCCACACTTCTTCCTAACACCCTAGTATTCACTTCTTTTGCAATCCCGTCTATAAACATGTTAAACAACCAAGGTGATATCACACATCCCTAAGTCCTATTTTCACTGGGAAATAGTCCCCTCTATATTACATACCCTAAGTTGAGCCTCCCTCTCTGCATAATATCTATTACTACTTTTAACCCTTTCAGGGTCCAGGCCCCTGATCTGAAACTTGTCCACAGGGTCAAAGAACTTTAAAAAAAAAATTTTTTATTTTTTCTTATGAAATGGAAGAGTCTTTTTCTGAAGGTAATAAAACAGAAAGTACAAAATTTGATGGAAAATTGACAAAATTATGCTCTCGCGAATTTTGCTGTCAGCGATATTTACACATCGGTGATTTCGCCCACTTTGACTCCCATTTAAGGCCAATTACTTTATTCCAGTCGACTAAATTCTTAGCTATTTCGCTAGTATTACATTTATTTTATCGACTGAGCAGAAGAAATCACTCAATCAATTATTTCAACTACCCAATAAAGTGATTGGAAATTAGTAATTTGGCCAATTTCACACAAAGTTCAAAATGTTCCAATTTCAAAACAGGGTCCAGAATAAACAATGCAGGCATTCCTGGCACTAAAATAACATTTCCTCTGCTTATCAGTTATGTTCCAGGCTTTACAAATGAATTCCACTTTGATTTTTTATTCACATAATGAATTTTTATTTACACCAAAAAATAGAAGATTTACTGTTAGGCAATACTGTAATGAATGTATAAATAATATCAGAGCATTTGTAAACACACATTAGACCCACCCACTGACGTGTATTGGACGCATTAAGTTATTTGTTTACTCTTGAACATTGGCAAAAATCAAACATCTCTGCTACTTTGAGCTCAATTTCAAGCTATTTTCAGTACTAAAACCCATCAAAATCATCTCTATTTCTGTAAAATATCTTCCATTCTATCAAATGAGACCAAGAAACCATGAATACAACCGTAAAACATACAAAAATACACTGCAAAGTCACTGATTTAACAAAAAAAAACAGTCTCGTTTTTTTTTTCATTATACACTGCATGCTGCAGGATATGTTTTATATGGTGCACACAAAGATGCATTCTCTCATATCTAGGCCCAAATTTACCACTCACAGCTTATCTGAGTGAGCTGAGCTCATGGTAAAGAACTATGGCTTGGACCCTGTCTTCAAAGCTGTAGAACTATGAAATGGACCCTCGAAGGGTTAATATGCTACCGCCTACTCCACACAATTACATTTCCTACATTGAGCCTTTATCCACCCAATCACATGCCTTTACTAAATAAATGCAACAAACAGCTTCTTAACCTTATCTAAGTAATGTTTTAATGTAAATAATTGGTTAATACAGCCCCTACCCTTTCTAAATCCTATTTGCTCCTGTGTAATCTTACTTTGTCTCTTATCTCTAATTCTTTCAACAATAACTGTTTTGCACATTTTACCAAGTATGCTCAACAGGCTTATTCCAATAAAAATCTTACACTCTCTCTTTCCCTTATCCAGTTTTCCTTATGCATGTGTTTTGACATCTCTTTAGTAACTTCCCTTTCACGCACGTATTAAACAAATACATTACCCAATCCAAAATTATATTCCCACATTTCAGTTATAATTCCATGTCTCCACTGTTTTATTCTCTTTCAACCTTCTAACTGCCTCACCCGCTTTCTCTGCCCTCATCTCTGGATCTTCCCTCCAACTTACAGATTCCTGGTCCTCCCTGCCTCTATGCATGAAATCGTCACCTACATTCGTTAGGTTGATTAGCGTGGGTGGCATCCTGGGAGACAAGACTGAAGGAACCCAATGGAAATAAGATAGACAGTCCTTGATGACACACTGACTTTCTTGGGCTATCCTGGGTGGCTAACCCTCCAAGTTAAATATCCAAACAAATCTTAAGTTACACCTCTAAAATTATTTACTGTAGTTCATTATGATGCTTTACTCACCAGAATTGTGGCACCAAGAAAAGCAATAAATAAAAGAAAAATTGCTTTGTTAAAAATATGCACAAAGTTAAGCAATAAAATGGTAAAATTATTCCTTAAAATATGAAATTAATATTTAAGAAGTGCAAAGTTTTTTTATAAATGTAATATTTTTTACTTTTGTATTTTCTTGATAAAAAATTTTGTTCAATCACAGATTTGTATGTAACAATTTTTCTATTTTTTGAATAAAATAATTAAAAATTATTGCATGAATGAACAGAGCATTAGAGCTCCAGCCTAATGCCATGATATATTTGTATTGCTTTAATTTTAGGTCATTCTATTCCAGTTTATCCTTTGAGAAATTTGTTGTATTTTTTATAAAGAATCTTACAAGTATGACCATCAACATTTTCCCAGGAAGTTTTACATTTTTTACATCTAGATTTTTAAAAATAAAACTATATAAAACTTTTGAATAAAGACAGAATATCACTGTTATATTTAAAAATATAAATGCCAAGACATAAATGATAAGATTCAAAGTTAATAGAGCAAAAATATATCATTAGATCTGGCCAGCATTCTAATGTTCTTTTATTAATGTAACAAATTTGAAATCTCCAAATGATTTGTTATACTCTTAAGAAAACTGCTACCTGCCAATTAGTAGCTAAACTAAGAATAATCATCAAGCTGTATAAACTCTGTACTGAATATACAAACATAATTCTAGAACTTTAAAAGCTGGAGGCCTTCATTAATAATAAAATCAATAAAGTTAAGGGTATATATATATGTAAAGAAGACCGAGATGGTTAAGCCATTCTTCACCTGACCTGCTTGTAACATGACCAAGTCAGTTCCACAGACAAAGTGCAACCATTCTGATATGCAGAACTGTGTTCCCTGAGAATGTGATCCTACATGACAAAGGCTTCTCTCACCATGACAGAGTGATCCAATAAAGGAAACCTTCACCATAACTCTTTCTTGAGCTGTCTTTCCAGCAGTGCATGGGTGGCCCCGCTCTGCGACATTCCGCTAATAAGGACATTTCAAATTATGACCAAAAGTCGCTATACAGCTTCCCCGCCTGACTTTCTAATACGGTCACCATGCCTCACCCGGTTTGTTTACATTCTCTGTGAACTTTGTGAGCACTGTGTCTCTCCATTATGTCCAGAAACTTTCCAAAATTTCAAGTATTTTAAAGTTATTTCATGTTTTATATATACTGTGATAGCAACGAAATCACAGTACTTATGAATCATGGGAGTGCCTTGATGAAGGGGAAGGGCTCTTGATCCATGGAATTCAATCTACCCTCACTTTCCTTGGATCAAATATAACTACTTCCTAATTCCCTAGTGTTGAATGACCTCTATGGGTTCAGTATTTCCCCCATGAATATAATAATAACGCCTCTTGATTATTTCTCAAGTGTTAGCTATTACACTCTTTATTTGTGTGATGATTTACAAAATACCAATAAATTCTATACCAGTTCCTACATAAGTTAATTATCTTCATAAAGAACTTATTGGTGGTAAAAATATTGTACTAGTTATTCATTAATAGAGAATTTAAAAATGTTAAATTACTGCAGTATTTAATTGTCATAGCTACCTGAAACATAAGTATATGGAGGCACAAACTTAAAATGGCCTCCATTGCGGTCAGAAACTATGACACCTGGTATTCGGCTGCTGCTTGGAAAAATTCTGACTTTGGTATCCTTGGGTGTAGTCAGAGTTTCATTGCTAGAGTGAGTACGTGACCAAGACTTGAGGAAAGGGGGAAGAGAGGGAGCTGATGCGAGTGCATGGGATGGAGGAGATGCAAAAAATTTCTGAGAGGAGGCAAAAGGAACTTCTTGGGAAAGGTGTAGCTGCTGATATTGTGAAGAAACATAGAAAGATGAAGGAGGATGATGGAAGAGTTTGCGACTGGATGGGGAGACTAGTTGTGGTTGTGCTTGTGCAAACATGGCAAGATCTTGGGAGTTTACTACAATCCGTGCAGCATGGATAGGGAGGAAGAGAGAGGTCATTAGTGCTTCACTAACACTAACCAATCATCAATATCATGCTTCACAATTAGGTAACATAAAGCTTGCATAATTTAAGAGTACACACAAAAAGGTATCTTAAGAGCATGTGTCTTGGTGTAATTAATTATCTTTGTGTATGTATATGCATATGAATGTATGTGTGTGTATGTGTGTGTGTGTGTGTGTGTGTGTGTGTGTGTGTGTGTGTGTGTGTGTGTGTGTGTGTGTGTGTGTGTGTGTGTGTGTGTGTGTATATATGTATATATATATAATATATATATATATATATATATATATATATATATATATATATATATATATAATATATATATATATATATATATATATATATATATATATATAAAGGTTTTTTCTTTTTAAATTTAGTAATTTATGTGGGAGAAAGGGTTACTAGCCCCTTGCTCCCAGCATTTTAGTTACCTTGTATGACACACATGGCTTACGGAGGCCACAAGGCTAGGAGGGAGTGAATGTGGCAAGCAGCAAGTTGACATCACAATCAGATTGTATACACAAATATAACAATGTTTAATATTATTTGAAAGTGAAAACTTAATGGAAAATATTAGGTAATTATTCTTAGTTAAAAAATGTAATTAGATAGGAAAAGAGGTTCCAAGCTCAAAACACTCAACTTGCAATTTTCAAGAACACATTAATGACATAAGTAAGGGACCTACTGCAAAACATATCAATGCATATATTAAAATTTGATAGATATTCAAATTTTAAGAAAGCTTAACACATTGGCCACTCTTAGTAAAATGTACATACTGTGCATATAACCAAAATATTACATAAAATCAATGCAAAGTATTTCAAGTGAGACAAACTCTTACATGGAGTAACCTGGAGATATACAGATTTCCTTCTTCCTGGAGTTGTTAATGACACACCTTGTGCTTCACAGAAGTATGTACCAGAGTGTTCTACCTGAAACCAATGCAACATTTTATAGAAAATAAAGATTTCTATATATGTATACAAATAGCAATCTATGAAATTCACAAACATATGATCCAATGAAATATGCTAAACTCCTTTTTAAAAGAAAAAGGAATTTAATCATTGTTTCCAACAAAAACTTGAAAAAGTTTGTATCACTTTCCTCATAAAACAATAATGATTTTTACAAATTTCATTTTTATATTTTCTTTCTTTTGGTTAGTACCATATAAAAGCATTACAGAATACAATATATGGTATAAGTTATTTGTATTCATATTCCATTGATTCAATAAAGATACAAAAACGTTATGTTATAATAATGACATCAAAATATTTATCACTAGACAATTCTTCACTAACACTTTTATCTTTGTTCTCCAAAACAAGGTTTCTTTATTCTTAATCTAAAATTATTCATCTTTCCACCATGGTGACATCATATTAAAAATATTAATATGATAAAATCAGACTGCTGAGGTGTGATGAACAGTTTGAGGGGAAAACAAGTGATTGCATGCATTTATAGAGAGACTGTCTATTTATTGTGCAAGCTGGTGAAAACAGCCAGACTGGTATGGAAATAAGACACTATGCACAATCATAATATTTACTAAAGGAGATGGTTTCATCAATTTATCATGTTAGGATTGATGAAGTCACGATTAGTGAAATGTCTCCTTCAATTAGTATATTGATTGTACATATGCATCTTATACCCAGAATCTGTCAGTATTAACATACCTATACTCATACAAACACCCTGATATCATTGTAAAAGCCAAAGGCTAATGGCCACTTTATACTATACAGTACAGTGGACCCCCGGTTAACGATATTTTTTCACTCCAGAAGTATGTTCAGGTGCCAGTACTGACCGAATTTATTCCCATAAGGAATATTGTGAAGTAGATTAGTCCATTTCAGACCCCCAAACATACACGTACAAACGCACTTACATAAATACACTAACATAATTGGTCACATTCGGAGGTAATCGTTATGCGGGGGTCCACTGTATTTTTAATATGTATAGATAGCTCTCTTTTTATTATGATCAAATCATTGACTTACTTGTATATTAGGCATAGTTAGGCGACCACGAATATCAGTAGTTCCCGGAGGCAATGGACGGTTTCCATCTCTTACCCATACTACAGGGGCTCTTATTGTGCCTTCGTCACGACACTGGAACACCACTTCACGACCTGTCGTGTTTAAATGGAGATTGAGCTGGTAACAATTAGCATAGTTATGTTATATGTTCTTAATTTTTAATTACAAATATTGAATGATGAAATGCTGTTGCAATAATTAAATTCGACAAAATATTATTAAATGTCATTTTCACATACTATAATATAATAAGTTACTTACTTGAGTCAACATTAATAAGTGTTAACATGAAGAATAATAAAATACTCAATATAATTCTTATTGTAATCTGAACCTACTTGGAAAAATATGTACAGCTGACCGTTACATTACACAGATTTCTTTGCCACATATTGGTTATTGCACCACTGAAAAATTGCGGCACAATTTTATACAACACTTCGTAAAATTAACTTTACACAGTTCTGTTTGCGGGCATGGAAAAAATTTCCCCAACTCAAGTTGCCATCTTGTTGTGGGTCAGTGAGGGAGACCTCCCACCATCCCTTGCCACCCCCAACATTCCTGCCACCACCATCCCAGCCTTTGTGAATGCGTGTTCAGTTCCATTCTGTCTTAGGAGCTAGCTGTGTTTGTAAATTGTGTTTTGATCTTTTAGTTACTATATCTTGTATCTGCTAAGCAATCATGGCACCCAGCAGGCATATTAGTGTTGCTGAAAGTGGCAAGAAAAGGTATAAGTGTTTAAGTCGTAGAGTTAATGAACAAAATAGAGATATTATACAAGACATAGCCTGTTGCCATAATGAAGCATCTCTGTGCAATTAGAAAAGAATGAGGTAAATATATGAGTTTGTGTGATGAATAACTAACTGACTGACTGACTGACTTGACTGATTCACTGACTGACTGACTTGACTGATTTATTGACTGAATGACTTGACTGATTTACTGACTGACTTAACTGATTTACTGACTGACGTGACTGATTTACTGATTGACTGACTTGACTGATTTGACTGATTTAAAGTTAGACTTTCACTGAAGAGGACCCTGAAATGGTGTCGAGAGAAGCTGATACCTTACCATCAGTTGTATAATGCACTGCAAGGTAAAATAGAACAGAATTCCGTTACAGAATTTATGCACACTCCAGTACAACTATCGACTTCAGTACCAGAACCTCTACCATCCACCTCAGTCCAGTAGGACCACAACATAACTCTCCACTCTCTTCACAATCATCCACAAACACCAGCACCCACAATTTAAGGTAAGAAATACTATTATTTCTGTTGCATTTGTAGTCTTAAGCAGTAAAAACAACATAATACATCACGACTATGAACTACAATTACATATTCACTTTTATTTTTGTAAGAGCTGGAGGTCTAAAAAAAAGTGGTTTCGCTTTTTTCAGGGGCTCCCAGGAGCATAACCCTGTTTTTCCCATAAGTTCTTCAGTTTATCTAACACGAATTTACCTAACACAGCATTTTCGGGAACGTAACTACAGTGTAATGTAACATTCTACTGTATATAAAATCTAAGAAGTGGAACACAAAACTAAAATGATACAACTTTTCTAGAAATAATCATACAAAAACTACCATAAAAAAGTTTTTAAATATCCTAATGTATCATTCAAGATGAATGATGGGTTGCATTTGCAAATACATCTCAGTAAAGAATAATCTCTTATATAATCAGTAACTTATACAAAACAATGTGATGGTATATGGAAGAATATTTTTAACCAGAGGTTAAGGCTGAGACACAGAAGTTATTAGCATTATGTACACTATAGTACTGGCCATCAGCTAAATGTTTTTATATTAAAATACAGTGGAACCTTGGATTACGAACGTCCCACCATGCGAACTTTTCACGATACGAATCATCATTCAGTCGATTTTTTGCTTCTGGATATGAATGAAATTTCAGGATGCATATTTCCCCCTCAAGGGAGATTCCTTAAATAAGTAAATAAATAAATTAAATACTATTTATTTCTTTGCAAAGATTACAATGTGTGCTTACAAATCATAATATGATTGGAGCAAAGAAAGCCACTATCATACTGAGGAATTTCGGGCAGACTTAACCTAATACTTAAGTCTAGACATGTAAAAAGTAGTGGTTACCAATGTTTCGCTGATGGTGGTGCCAACTACTGGCAGCCTTTTGAAATTTCTCCTTACTGTTATTATTATTATCATTAGTATTATTATTAATACTATTATATTGTATTATTATTATTATTATTATAATAATTATTATTATTATTAGTATGTACGTGGTGAGGGGCTATTGATCTAGGGAGTTGGATCTATGTTCCAGTTCCCTAAATTAAGCCTGAATACCTTCCATCCCCTCCCCCCTTCCCCACAAGTGCTTCCCCATTATAATACTAATAATATAATATTATAATAATAATAATACATATAATAATAATACAGTGGAACCTCAAATATCAAACTGCTCCCAACTCAATCAATTATGTAAGTGTATTTTTGTAAGTGCTTTTAAAAGTGTATTTTTGAGGGTCTGAAATGAACTAATCTAATTTACATTATTCCTGATGGGAATAAATTTGTTCGGTAACGGCACTCGAACAGCCGTCTGGAATTAAGAAAGTTCGATATTTGAGGTTCCACTAATAATAATGTACTATAATAATAATTATAATCATAGACAGCTTTGAAAGGCCGTCACTAGATGGCAGTGAATACCACAACAATGAGGGAGTGGTTAAGGACGCCGCCACTTGTCACACAATGACATATGTATTTTATTCATTCTAGAGTACATATCAGGTTTCTATGTTATTTATATTGTTGATTATGTCATATTAGATCAACTGTGATAGATAAATAAGCCATAGAGTTGATATTACCGTCATATTTTGTCCTGTCTCAAAACACTAAATTCTCCTCTGCCACCAGCACCATTACATAGAGACATACATAATGAGTAGAGCTGATATTAGCACTATATTGAAGTGTATTTTTCCTGCCTCTGAGAGCAGGAATTCCGCCGGAATACATTAATGTCTTTTCAATTAATTTAAATGAGGAAAATTGACTCAGCATACGAACAAATCAGGATATGAACAAGGTCATGGAACAGTTTAAGTTCGTAAGCCAAGGTTCTACTGTATGCTCCCAAATCACAACCCTTCACTTACATTCATAATACACAATTTAAAACAAAATAAACATTCAATAAAGTTGGGTTCGGATTAAAACAATTTTTTTTTTTTTTGTAATATGAATATTTTGTGAGTTTGTCTACTCACCTACCTGGAAATTAAATAAAAGTACAGTATGTTTTGTATTCTATTATTTTTCTTTCTTGTTACAAAGCTTATCTCATTAAAATCTATCATTAAATTGCCTCTTTAATTTGTATTTATTATATTATTATTATTATTTTTTTTATTATCACACTGGCCGATTCCCACCAAGGCAGGGTGGCCCGAAAAAGAAAAACTTTCACCATCATTCACTCCATCACTGTCTTGCCAGAAGGGTGCTTTACACTACAGTTTTTAAACTGCAACATTAACACCCCTCCTTCAGAGTGCAGGCACTGTACTTCCCATCTCCAGGACTCAAGTCCGGCCTGCCGGTTTCCCTGAACCCCTTCATAAATGTTACTTTGCTCACACTCCAACAGCACGTCAAGTATTAAAAACCATTTGTCTCCATTCACTCCTATCAAACACGCTCACACATGCCTGCTGGAAGTCCAAGCCCCTCGCACACAAAACCTCCTTTACCCCCTCCCTCCAACCTTTCCTAGGCCGACCCCTACTCCGCCTTCCTTCCACTACAGAGTGATACACTCTTGAAGTCACTCTGTTTCGCTCCATTCTCTCTACATGTCCGAACCACCTCAACAACCCTTCCTCAGCCCTCTGGACAACAGTTTTGGTAATCCCGCACCTCCTCCTAACTTCCAAACTACGAATTCTCTGCATTATATTCACACCACACATTGCCCTCAGACATGACATCTCCACTGCCTCCAGCCTTCTCCTCGCTGCAACATTCATCACCCATGCTTCACACCCATATAAGAGCGTTGGTAAAACATTATAAGTAATGAAAAACTTTTGGAAATGAGCATACAAGTAACTGTACACAGATCATGTTATGAACACACACAAGTACTGCATTTCAATCATTCTTCTTTGTCATACACATCTGAATGTTATTAAATTATAATTTCTTTCTTGAAAAATGCTTAAGATAATACTAAACATGTTGACCTTTCTGAGAATTCCAACAACTGTACTAAACAGCATGCATCTGCATTCAGTAAAATTGGTGCTTGATTACTGCAAATTTAAGGCAATCTTATGAATGTGGTAAAAACTCAGAAATGTTACACAGCTCAAGCAAGTTTCCAAGAGGAGGTAGAAAAGGACAGGACAGATTATCATAGGATAACCAGAATTACATACAGGAGGGCCTTGGTTAACTGCACTTTGTTAATACAGACATTACAAATTATACCCAAAAATTCATTAATAAGGCTCTTGATTCAATACCACGGCCTGAGCTGGCTGGGCATCTGTGTCTTTCTCTCAGTTTGTTTACATCCTCCATAAACTCCATGTCTCTCTCTCGATTCTGTCTGGAAACTTTTCAAAGTTTCAAGTGTTTTTAAGTTACTGCATATTTTATATATACATATAGTAGTCCCCCCAAATTCAGGGGGTTATGTTCCAAAACCACCCGTGAATTTGGAAAAAAACGCGAATTCTGGTTGCAGTTAAAAAATGCCCATAAATGCCTATTTTTTATAGTTTAAGCCCTAAATATGTCCCCAAAACACTTTAATTTAATTTCAAACTCAGCTTTGTACATCACCCTTGAAAAAAAAAAAAGAATGTAAAGATTAACCAGTATACAGTACTGTACAGTGGACCCTTAGTTATCGGCTATAATCCATTCCAAAAGGTCGGCCTAAAACTGAAATGGCTGAAAACCGAAATTATTGTAAATCCAATTAATTCCTTTCTGACATCCAAAAATATTAGCAAAAAATACATTTTTTAAACAATGAGAAAACAATGAGTACATTC